CCGGTGTAGACCCGGCCAGGCTCCTCCCACCCCCAGCAGCACATGAGAAGCGGTCCCGTCGGGGCCTCGCGCGCGGGTGGCTGGGCCCAGAGAGCCACAGCGTCCAGGGGGAGACAGGCGGCACTTGCTCCCCCAGCCATGCTGTGGGGCAGGGCAGGGCAGCGGGGCTGGCTTGAAGCAGGCGGGCTAGGAGGTAGGCACGGGCTGGCAGTGCCAGCGGCCTCCCACGCCGGGCCACTCCCCCGGGCCCCGTGGGGGTAAGCAGCTTCCCTCCCCTTGCTGCCAGCTGGGGCCTGTGGGCCGGCCCTGCCTGCCTTGCCGTGGCCCCGCCGCCACGGCTCCGCATTCCGTGGCGGCGGCTCCGTGCTGCTGCCCTGCGCTCCATGGCGGCAGCTCTGTGCTCCGCGCCGACACTGCCACCGTGGGCCAGATAAAATGGCTTGGCAGGCTGCATGTTGGACAAGCCTGATTTAGACTATCTAGCATCCATACCGCTCGTTCTAGAAATTTAAGGTTGATTTTTTTTTTTTAATTTTTTTTTTTAAGTACGCTGATGGCGCGTCATATTTGGGGCTGAAGCAAGCCAGTTTGGGTAATAGAACTGCTGTAAAGCTTTGTCTAAAGCTCTGAAAAGCTCTTCACGAAGCAGGAGATTTTTCTCAAAAGTCACCACCTCCCTGAAAGTCTCCGCTCTATATTGTGCCTTTGAAAATCGCTTCTATCCAGGAAGAACATACGCCAACTGCAGATGCTTCCTCAGCCTGCCAAAGGGCATTTATACCTGAAAGCTTGCAACGAAGAATTTTTGTATTTGAGTTGGTCAAATAAAAGATACCAGATTTACCCAAAGAACCTTGTCTGCCTATGTCCTTAGACCAACATGGTTACAGCCTATATCCGTAATACATATATTTTTCCTTACATTTTTGTATATTGTTTAAGTTCCTGATTGGGTTTTTTCTTTTATTTTTGTTGTTTTTGATTTGTTTCTTTTGTTTTGTTTTGGTTTTTGGGGGGGGCAAGGGGGGGAGGTTGGTACTAGAGGCAAAAGCCTAGCTGTTCTGCGCACAACTTCAGCAGAAATTCTACAGAAAAACCTGGTCTTTCTAATCCTCTCTTATGCAAATCCATTCATAGCTTCCAATTAAGTAAGTTGTTGACTATGGAAGCTCATGAACTGGTTAGTCTAAGGTGTAAAAGTGGAGTGACCATGTGTCCCAGGCAGCACTAGACACTCCAGGATTCCATAGCCTGGTCCTAGCTGGTTGATCAAAAGTCCTGGGCCAGAGTCTAGTGGGGAGGTAGAGAAGCACACTGCACTAGGCAGGTGGCCGGGCAGGCACCATTGTTGCTATGTGGGAGCAAGGTGGGTGGACTGAAGCAGGTGCCACCCTGCCCATGCCTAGCACATCCTTGCTCCTGCACAAGAGCAGCAGTGCCTGCCCAGCTGCCTGCCTAGCATACTGTACTGCTATGCCTCCCCACTGGACTCTGGCCCAGGACTTCTGATTAACTGGCCGGGATCAGGCTATGCAATCCTGGACTGGTCAGCGCTGCCTGGGACACATGATCACCCTACCTAGTCCATCCTACCTTCCACCTGGCTTCAGGCTAACGTGGCTAATCATCTCGCTTTGCAGACCAGAATGGTTTGGGTTGTTTTTATCTGAACTTGTAAGCAGGTTTGAAGTTTATCAATTTTTTCTACCAGTGACTAAAATCTCTCCTAGTAATTTCAATATCTGCTGAAAATTGATTGTCCTTCACCATTCCCACCCTGTACCACTAAAGGAAGGATAATAAATAACCAGATACAACCTATATTAATCTGGTATTAGACCAATCACTGGCAGGTAAGACAGCAGATAAGTCTGACTATCTAGGTTTTTTAATGAAAAAAGAATATTAAGGATTTAAAGCTTAGTTTTTTTTCAAATGTTGCTGCTAGAGATAATTCAACAGGAAACTGTCTAGCATCCTACTAGGGTCAAGTGAATGATTTTGTGAATTTTAGATGGTCTTCAAATCTTAATTATGAGAGCTTCCACAGTTCTAGCTTATGGCGTTGGCTTCTAAACTTACGGTTGTTACCCAACTGGCCCTTCGGTCCTCCATCCCCAAACATGTCTTTGCTAACTGGAACCCCTGACACTTTGTTAGTAGTTGACATCCTGGTGGGATCTTCAGTGATAGGTTCCTTTCTCATTCTCTCCTTAGTATGCTGACAAGGGAAGAACAGAGTTACTTCCTCCTCTTGGATGTTTAGTAGAGGATAATGAATTCACTGGTTGTGGAAATTTCATGAGTTTAGCTTTCTTTCTCCCTCCCAGAGGGGACAGTGGTGCTAAGGGCTCTGCCACCATTTCTCTTGGAGTGGAGTGGTCTCCTCTTCTGGAAAGCACCTAATTACTGTGGTGACGGGTAACAGTATTCCAAAACATGGAACCCCTCCAAATGAGAGGCAGGTAAAAGATACTCATTTAAAAGCCTGCACAGGTGGCAATTGGGAGAATTTCAACCATAAGATTTAATTTGGTAGTTAAAATTTAATGGGTGTGCTCTGCTTTATAGCAAGACCATTCCATGGCGCTCCTGTGAGAGATGCAAAGGCATTCTACTTGAGGATAAAGTTCTTCTAGCCATCGCAGCATGTGAGCCTGCATGTGCAGACTTGCACAGTAGCAACAGCTCCTGAAATTGATATTACAAATGTCTGTCTGGTGTGTTCATCTCTGCCATAGGGTATTGCCACAGGTGATGGGATGGCTTCACACATTTCTCAAACACTCAGCAAAGCAAGCAACCCAATAACTGTTTTTCCTTTTTCTGTTGCTTTTTGAGCAGCGCTACTGCTTTAATGTTTTATGCATGTCTAATGGTTTGTTTTTACCTCTGTTTTTAAGAACATGAAGGATATGACCAGTTGGTAATGTACATTTGTTGTCAAGCAAATGCTTTGCATGAGCTTTCTTTGCTTAGCGGTTCTGTAGCAATCACATTTATTTTTCTCTGATATCCTAAAGTGCATGCATGTGTAACTGTGTATTTTTTTGCTTAACAAGATACTAAAGGAACATTGTTAGAGTCAAAGGAAAACAAAGAACTTGGTTTTCCACAAGGTAAAATATTTATACAGAAAAAGCAGCTGTAAGATCCACCGGTGGTTCTTAAAACTGACTGTAAAATGCAAGGCATCTGAATGTCACTGCTTCCTTGGGCTGTTAGGACTGTTGGAGATAACAGTATTGTTCTGCATGAATTCAACAGCACACTGTTTTTAGGGTTAGCCCCACAATCCCTAGGCCAGAGTGTGACATGATGTTAACTGGTATAGCTCCATTTAAGTCAGTGAAGTTATAACTACCTTCCGAAGTTAGGGCTTCAGAAAAACAGACTTTGACTCACTCGGAGAACTCATGGGCAGGATCCCCTGAGAAGCCAGACTGATGGGGAGAGGAGTCCAGGAGAGCTGGCTGTATTTTAAAGAAGCCTTACTGAGAGTGCAGGAACAAACCATCCCAATGTGCAGAGAGACTAGTAAGTATGGCAGAAGACCAGCTTGGCTTAACAGGGAACTTTTTAGTAAACTAAATCACAAAAAGGCAGCTTATAAGAAGTGGAAACTTGGGCAAATAACTAGGGAAGAATGTAAGAGCATTGCTCGGGCATGCAGGGATGAAGTCAGGAGTTGCAGCTAGCAAGGGATGTGAAGGGTGACAATAAGTATGTCGGTAGCAAGAGGAGGATCAGGGAAACTGCGGGTCCCTTACTGAATGGAGGAGGCAACTTTGTGATAGAGGATGCAGAAAAGGCTGAAGTGCTCAATGCCTTTTTTGCCTCCGTCTTTACAGGCAACGGCAGTTCCCAGACTACTGCACCAGGCAGCACAGTTTGGGAGGAAGTGAGCAGCCTTCAGTAGTGAAAGAACAGGTTAGGGACTACTTAGAAAAGCTGGACGTGTACAAGTCCATGGGGCTGGTTGGGATGCACCCGAAGGTGCTGAGGGAGTCATCTGATGTGATTGCAGAGCCATTGGCCATCATCTTTGAAAACTCATGGCAATCAGGAAAGGTCCTGGATGATTGGAAAAGGGCAAACATAGTGCCCCTATTTAAGGAAAGGGAAGAGGAGGTCTCGGGGAGATCCTCAGGATATCCATTTCTGAGTGCTTGTAGGAGAAAAAGGTGATCGGGAACAGTCAGCATGGATTCACCAGGGGCACTTCATGCCTGACCAACCTGATTGCCTTCTATGATAAAGTTAATGGCTCTGTGGATGCAGGGAGACCAGTGGATGTGATGTACCTTGATTTTAGCATAACTTTTGATATGGTCTCCCACAGCATTCTCCCAGGCAAGCTAAAGAAGTACAGGCTGGAGGAATGGACCGTAAGGTGGAAAGAACTGGCTGGATCGTCAGGCTCAATGGGTAGTAATCAATGACTCGATGTCTAGTTGGCAGCTGGTATCAAGTGGAGTACCCCAGGGGTTGGTCCTGGGCCCGTTTTGTTCAATGTCTTCATCAAAGACTTGGAAGATGGCATAGAGTGCACCCTCAACAAGTTTGCAGCTGCAGGGAGTAGTAGATATGCTGGAGGGTAGGGCTAGGATTTAGAGTGACCTAGACGAATTGGAGGATTGGGCCAAAAGAAATCTCATGAGGTTCAAGAAGGACAAGTTCAAAGTCCTGCACTTAGGGTGGAAGAATCCCATGCACCGGTACAGGCTGGGGGCTGACTGGCTGGGCAGCGGCTCTGCAGAAAAGGACCTGGGGGTTATAGTGGACAACAAGCTGAATATGAGCCAGCAGTGTGCCCTTGTTGCCAAGAAGACTAACGATATACTGTTTTGGTATGTACAATGGGCTGCATTGGTAGGTGTGTTGCTAGTAGGTCAAGGGAAGTGATTATTTAGCACTGGTGAGGTCACATCTGGAGTACTGTCTGGTTTTGGGCTCCCCACTACAGAAAGGATGTGGACAAATTGGAGAGAGTCCAGCAGAGGGCAACAAGAATGGTGAGGAAACTGAGGGACATGACTTGTGAGGAAAGACTGAGGAAACTGGGGTTATTTACCTGTCCCAGATCCGCTTCAGATTCAAGTTAATTTGCAGTCCCTTCAGCATCCCAGGATGCTTTGCACCTCCCCTGAAAACCTTCCTTTCCCTTTTCCCCCACAGGGTGAGCAGGCTAGCTTTGGCCCAAGCTGTCTGCTGCAGCCAAGCAAGGAGGCATGGTCTAACACCCCCTGGCTTCTGGATTGGGCCACTGCAGACATGTGGCTGCATTTCTAGAATCAAAAGCGAATGTCTGCTCACTTGCTTATCAGGTCAATCTACACAGCTTAGACTAACCTTTGAAGACTGAATTGTTTCAGCCTTGGGCTTTTCGACTATTTGGACTTAACCTTAGATAGTTTAGGAGAATGTTGAGCTTGTTACCTCTAGCTCCCTAGTTCAAATGTATATAAGGTCAATAGGCAATGGAAAGAGAACTTTATTTGGCGTTGCTACTTGCCTCTCGAGCCTTTTGTGGAAGGCCTGTATGTGAGGATGTGTTGGTAGAGAACGTGTGAAAGTATGAGCTAAGGGTAGGTCCAGAGTGTGGAGGTGACAAAATCTGTATTACCTTCTTCTGGAGAGCAATGGTTAATCCACTAAAAAGTCAGTGCAGCCTGATGGTGAATAGAGGACAAGCCAGGGCATATGTGACTTTATTTTGGGTGTTAGGAACCCTCACAAAGGGAATAAAGAGATCCTGTAGTCATGGTTCTAGCCCCTTTGTAATGGATGAGATGTTTTTCAACCCTGCAACCTGCATGCAAGCAGGGGTGTGGATATCCGCCTCTGTAGAGTTCTTGGCACAAAGCCTGATTAGTTGGGCTTTATGCAGGCACGGTGTGGCTTTCCCCGAGAGAGCATATAAACATCTTAAAAATCTACTTGAGAACAGAAAACACGCAGCACTGAGCTTCCATCTGCTCTCTTACAATGAAACATTGTGTTCTACAGCGACGTTCCATAACACTGTGTTAACACAAACGAAAACTGTAATGGATGAGCCTATCACTGTAGGGTTTTTTCCCTTCATTGTTGATAAGCACTTTATGTGCCTTGAGACGGTATTATTGTTAATTCTGGTCTCCTAAGCAAAATAAATCCATTTAGTACTTATTATAGCATATGACAAAATGACCAAAATTAAGGGGGGAAAAAAAAAAAAGCTGATTTTCATCCAGGTAGGTTTTTAAAATTTTTTATTTTCTTAAGGAAAAAGCCAAAATACCTTCAGTACAGCAGCTTCAAAGTAACTTTAAAAATAGAATTTCTTTCTTCTGAATGACTAAGTAGCAAAAAGCTGTGCAAATCACTGACTAGACTGGTTTTCAATTAATATAAATTCCAAGCAGACTTCTCTTCTTTTGTTATTTCAAAGACTCACTTTTTTTATGTAGCATATGATAGTTGATATACAAATAAGTCCAATCTTGTTTTCCAGTTCTACTTATCACTTCAGACATGACAGAGCACTCAGGCTAGCAGTACTTGAAGGAAGAGAAATACTGGATTTGAAGATCATAACCCTGTCACATTACAGTTCATGGTAAGGTTGGCCACTTATACAGATTCATTCAGATGAATCTTTCAAAGTGTGTTTACTGTGTGATGCCTAACTAGGCTACATAGTTCTTGCTCGGAGCAAGATTAGAATGGTATGTATATTTTGTCCAGGAATACTTCAAACCCTGTTGGCAAACAGAAAACTTGTTTCCTCATTCATCCTAGTGCATGCAAATAGTTGTAAAAAAAAAAAAAATTCATATCATACTGCACAGAATGTTCTGTATTCACAGTGAAATTTAATGGTCGTTAAGCTAAATACAATTTTATTCAGTGCTCACTTCAGTTGTAGAATTTTTGTAAGCTTTTTAAACAGTGGGATGATTGGGAGAAGTATGCAAATAAGTGTTACATGAAATAAATTAGCTGTCCTTATGAAATGCCTTCCAAAAACAATGTTCAAGATCTTACTTGTTTTCCCATATGATCTATTACATACTCTAATTTTAATGTCTTTACTCAGCTCTCAACTACTAAGGATCAAGGGTAATAGATTCAAATGGTCCCCAGCTACTGTGGTGCATGGATTTCTGCTCCCCACTTCTTTTACAGTAAGGGTACAACCCCTTCCCCACCCTCCCCCTTCCTCCAATAAAAATAGCCAGAAGCACGGTAGTAAATATCTTTCACCATAAATACGTGTTTTAAAAGAATCTGTGATATAAAAGAATCATGTTATACTAGAGTTGCATGTATTAGTAATGCCAGTATTTTGTCTTTTGGAGGGAGCACTATGCCTCTCCACTTCACCCAGTTTGAGTGTAAATCCATTGAAATAAAAGAGGTTTTGCTGGTAAAAAAGTAGTGCAACTCAGTGGAGAATCTATTGGTCATGAATTGTGAAATTGGAGTACAATCCCTTGAGGGGTGTTAGTGAGAGAGGATGGTGAAGCATGCTGAATAAAGAATGGAAGGCGTGGATAGCTGAAATACTGAAGATTGTGTCATTTGCCTATTCCAAGCTTTTTTTTTATCAACAGCTCATTAACAGAAGAAGCATACTGAGGACTTCTAGAAATGCTCATGTTGGTTTAGCTCTAAAGTTAGGGATTTGGTCTGGGTTGAACTTGGTTCAACTTTGTTTATTGCCTTTGCTCTGGTTCCACTATCACTAGGCAGAAGTATGTACCCAGCTCTCTCTGTTTTGGCTTAATTTGGTTATGCTGAGAAATAAACATCACTTATTGGGGAACCTGTCTAGCATTCTGTGTTACTTACACAAACAATTGTGCTGAATATATTAAAACAAGGGAGTTCAGTAGATCTGGCTGTAGACCTTATGAAAGTTCTGACTGTTTTCAACACTTGGCAATTCATTAAATGAAATGTAAAAAAAAAATAAAAATAAATAAATAAAATTCATAACCTGTACTCTGTTTTGTCAAGAGAGCTCCCCCTGTTAGATCTATGCATTTTCAGTCCAGTTTATCCTTTTGTCTGTTTATGTGCAGACATAACATTTAACAAGTGATAATGTGTAAACCGGAGAATACTTTGTGCAGATGAATAGACTCCCACTGTTGAACAACTCCTCAGGAGTTTGTGTTAAAAATAAATACAGATGCAAATTAGAATATGGTATTTATTTTAGCAGGAGGTTGTCATTGGTGGTATTCCCTAATGTTTCTGGTATCAAATAATGTCAGCTTTTAAAACTAATCTGCTAGTGTAGTTGAAGTTTAAATAGATCATTTGGTATTACTATTGGTAACAAAGGAAAATGTAGTAATCATGATATCAAGTAATTTATATATTCATTAATGTACTGGAAGCTGATGGCCCAGTGTAATCTATATTTTTTCCCCCTCTCCCCCTGAAGAACAGAGTCTTTTAAGAGTACAGATCAGATGCTTATTGCCTTTTCTGTTGACTTAGTTGATATTGGATTAGGGTTTGAGCTGGTGGTTTTCAAAGACAGGGCTGGGAGTTAGTAACCCAGTTCTCACTGGTTTCAGCAATCTCTTAATGCAGTGGTTCCCAACCTTTTATATACTGCGGACCAGCAAACTCACTCAAATAATTTTGGTGGACTGGGTATAGAAACATTCTAATTTACATATTTAAATTTAATTTTTACATGGGGGGTGGGGGGAGGGGTTGTGAGGAGTTGCCCTGAAAGTAAAGGCACAGCTCTAGCTGGGTTGGGGCACCACAGCTGTGGGCATTGGGGACCCTGCAGGGGAGGAAGCTGCAGGGGAGGAAGCTGCACAGGCAGTGGCCCAGGGAGACCCAGATGGGGCTGCCCAGGAAGAAGGAGCTCTGCTGTCTTCATTAGAAGCAAGCAGTGGAGCCACCTCCCTGCTCTCCACCCTAGGCATCTCCCCACCTACATCCCCCTGCTCCCAGCCGTGGGTGGGGCTGGAGGGTCCTGCCCAGCCTAGTACGCGCCCTGGTACCTGCTGCACAGGCAGCGCCTTGCTGGGTGCGGCCATGGCAGCAAGAGTGGGACAGGGTGCATGGAGCCAGCTGCCTCTCGGGGCTGCTCCGTCACCCAGCTTTAACCCTGCATGTGACTGCTGGCAGCGGAAGCCACCCGCCCAGGAGGACCGGTGGGGGCC